AAGACCACCCCCCCCCCCCCGAAGTACTGCACTGTGATTGCTCACCTGCCTGTCTGCAGGTGAAGTGCTACCACAGGCGGAGCAGAGCAGCAGAGCGGGAGGTGGTGTTCAGAGTCCAGTTTCACACCTGCACTGTTCACGGAGCCCAGCTGTGGTTTGGGAAGGCAGAGCTGGACTTGGCCTGCGCAGGTATAAATAACACACAGTGGTCAGGGAAATGGCTGCTTCAGCGCCATAACACAAGTGAAGGGTAATCAATAAAATGCAGTATTTTAGTATTTTATCACAACAAACTGAGAATAAAATGAGCAAATAGGACGTCCTCTGCTATTGTTTGCTTTTATAGCTGAGATGCACTGTTTCCTCAGAACACTGTGTATTTTAAGACTAATAGAAAATGACAGCGTCAGGTTAGATGACGCAGAAATGTTTTCTCATGGCCCACAGAGCAGCAGTCTCACTGCAGTTGCTCAAAGTGGTACATGCTAACCTATGCATACAGTATGATTCATGATTAATATCACCCACACTGATGCATCTATATTAAAAGAAAGCTTCTTCCAAACATCTTTTTGAAGTGTTCTGTTTTTCTTTTGTTTTGACCATTTCCCATACATGAAAGGAGTAAAAGCCAATATATATAAATTGTTTTATTACTTTTTATTACAGCTTTTAGTGGATGTTTTTCCCACACTTTGTGATTATGCTTTGGCTATTTTAGTCCCTGCCTTTATGCTCATCTCTTTGCAGATGACAGATTCCCTCCAGATGCGACGGTGGAGTTCATCTTCGCTAATGGACCAGAAAAAACAAAAGGTTAGAATTATCATCTTTCTGTCTGCCGCTGCATTGGTTTGGGTATTTCATTTCTTTTGTTTTTTTTATTTCCACATGTCTGCTTCCCAAGGTCGAGAATGTAGCAAAGATGACGCATCTATCAAGGTCGACTATGACACCTCAGACCCTGTGATCAGATGGGATTCCTATGAAAACTTTAACTTCCATCACCAAGACAGTGTGGAAAGTAAGAAACAGACAGAGATGTCCAATAAAAGTTTAGAATTAGACTTAGACCTGCTGCCTTTTATGAGTTTTATACTAGGATCATCTTATGGTGAGAAATTACAAAGTTGTAGTCAATTTGACCAAATGGTCACAATAACAAGGGAGAATTCATCAAATGAATGACCTTCAGGTACAAACTAAATTTTTGTTCAATGTTTGTATAAGTGATTGAGTTATAGACATTTTTGTCTATTCTAGGATCAGTGAGTGTGGCAGCCATATTCAAATGGGGTGGCCTAAAAGTTATCTGTTTGGTCGTCAAGGATTATTCATGAAAGATTTTATTAAAATCTTTTCATTGATTAATGAGATACTTAACTGACACACAGTTGATTGCAGTATAGTTAAACAACAGCAAAGATTATTTGGCTGTGGCAGCCAGGTTAATCACTAATAGGTGAATGTCTAAAGATTTTGTTCTGCTAGTTTCATTAAACCTTTTTTCATGTGATACTTTGATAACAGACATGCTGACAAAAACACAACAGGCATAGTCAAAAATATTATTGGTCAGATTCGGCTTTGTTAACATTAAGCTTTACATTTCCATTAGATATCTGTCATACGAGAGGCCCAATAGACGGCAGCTTGTATGCACAAGTGAGGAAGCGACGTGGACTCGGCGCTACTGCCTCAGCAGCCTCACCCAACGGATGCCTCAATACAAGCCCCACTGTGAACCCCCAGTCTGCCTCCAAACCCCAGCCTTTTGCCTTCAACTCTAATTCTAGGGGCTTCACAGCCTCCTCAGGTCCCATGGTTGACAAGTCACCACCCACTAACTGTTCTGACAGTCCACAGAAGAGAGAAGAAGTGGAGGATAGAGCAAAACAAAAGCCAAGAGAAAAAGAAAGAGACAGAGAAACAGCCATTTTAGATGATGGAGACACTTCGAGTACTGGAGTTCTGTGGCGTGAGCGCTCCTGTTGCAGTCGATCGGCTACAAAGTGCAGTGATGCGGGATGGGAAAGGGACAGAGAGCTTTGTCTTCCCAACGGTCACTGTCCGGGACGTTGCAACAGCATTAAAAAACATCCAAAAAGCCAAACTCTACCAACTTTACCATCCAAATCCCTGTCCCCTCCTCCTCATTTAACTCACATGGAGATCTTCCATCACCACAGCACCCATCCTTTACCTGAGTTACCATGGGAGCGTCCAGTCAATCCTCCATCTATGCCCTGCCTGCATGGACCATGCTGCCCTTATCCAAGCCCTGAACATGCCCGCAGTCATAGTCACACACTGCCCGCCTCCAATAGAGTCTGCGCCGGAGACGAGCGTCACCTCTTCCACTATCCCAGCCATGCAACGCACCCCTCCCGCCCACCACAGCCTGGAAGCCCTTACAGAGACATGTTCTTCAGCTCTCCTACATCAACCTCCTATTGCTCCTGCCAGGACTGTTCCATCAGACGAGAACAACAATCGGCCTCAGTCCGAAGGATCCCCCAATCCCACCCAGACCACTCAGAAAACCCACACTGGTCTCAAGGAATCATGCTACAACAGACAAGAGAGACGCCTGTATGGGAAACTGAAAAGCCTTGGGAACTGATGAGAGAGGCAGAATTCTGGCAGTGCAAGCCATCTATGCCGACATTTCACCTCTGCCACTCGACTTTAGAGCAGGTTCCGAATCCAGAGCAACCTAGACATGTCATTGTACCTCACCAGTCCTACCCTGCCCCCCAGTCACTGATGGATGTAAGAGATGGTGCAAGCAGTGGGTACCACACTCCTTTACAGCCCCGCCACTCCTGTCCCTGCTCGCCATATCCATCGTCCCCGTCTGAAAGCCGTGAAAGTCGAGGTTACGTCTCAGGGTACCATTCTGGATCGGCCTCGCCTCTGCCTGCCAGTAGCCCATCTCCTGGAAGAAGTAGGCACCCTGATGCCTCTGTATCTGGAGACCAGTCACACTCTGAGCTCCACAGAGGTGAGTATCAAGCCTCTTCTTTGTTGGTTCTTCATGACCCTTTTCACTGTTATATTCCTTCTACCCTCTCTTGTCACAGTGGAAAAAACCAAGCTAGATGCAGAAGATGGTGTTTCTCAAGGTTCTGAGGGTAAATCTGGCTCTTGTGGTCAATCAAGCACCCCAGGAGTGGACTCTGACCATGACTACACACTTATTGGTAGCAGCAGCCCAACTCACACCGAAGATAGGCAAGTGAAGTCTCTTTTCAAACAACGTTTGATGTGTAAATGCATTTATTTAGATATTTAGAGAGTATTTTATTCTCCCTTTTACTTTTCTATCAGTGTAAATGCTGACAGCCCCCTTCAAAACCAAGAAACTGCTGCAGATCTGGAGTCCAACACAAATACCATCAAATCCAGCAAACCAGTAGAAACAGAGACACGGATTTCAACCATATCTGTAAACTCCTCATCAAGAGAGTCTTCTCAGAGTCCAGATGATATGACTGAAGGAGCTAAAGTCACAGCAAGTAAATACACCCAACCAAATGCGTCAAACTATGCCACTGTCATCATCACTCCAGTCCAAGTGCAGCTCAATGGGTCGGCCCTCCCTATCGATGCCCAGTCCAACTTGAATCGATCCCCAAATTCCCTCGTTTGCTCCTCAGAGCAACAGTCGTCTCCTCAACACTCCACATCAGCTGTAGACAAGGCAGGGCAAAGACTGAGCACAGACAAAGATGCCTCCGCTGACCTCAAACCTCCGTCACCTGTACCCGACGGATGTCACACACCCACTTTTCCCCTAGCATCGTACTACTACTCTTTACTAAACGTTCCCCATGTCCCGTACACTGGGTACACTGCTGTAACCATCCCTTCCATTCAGCCTCCACTCCCTGAGAAGAAACGATTTTCCTCCACAGCGGCATCCCTGAACGGACACAATGCTCTGCTACGAGTCTCATCATCTCCCTCCCCAATGCACCACGTTACGTTTTCCCCTACATTGGGGGAGCAAACGAGGGGGTCTGCTTCACAACACAGCTGTCCAGAAGAGCCAGACATCAGGGTGAATGCTAAGTTTGTGCAGGACAGCTCCAAGTACTGGTACAAACCAGGGATCTCCAGAGACCAAGGTGAGAGTTTATCATTCCCAAACCACCTGAACAACAACTATTAAATGATGATGTTAGAATCATAATCTAGTGCATCTTCTGTACATAACTGATTCTAATYTGTCTCTTCTATCACAGCCATCGCTGCGTTGAAGGACAAGGAGCCGGGAGCTTTTCTCATTCGAGACAGTAACTCATTCCAAGGTGCTTATGGCTTGGCTCTCAAGGTGGTCAGTCCTCCTCCTAACGCCAACATTACTGGAAACAAAGGTATTCACTTTGACCCTAAATCCTAAAGTCATAAGGGACATTCTCAGCTTAGTTTATAAAGTTTATTGTGGGTCTAGGTTGGGTTGGGGTTTTTATCCAAAGTCTAAACTGCAAACCTAATGATAATCTTTACAATAAAAACAAATGCTATTAAAAGCCTAGCTGAAGAAATGCATATTGCCCACAGCCTTTCATGTCAGAAATTGAAATTAAGATTATTTTAAGATTAAAAGGGACAGCTTTATTTCCATTTAAGCCAGATCTGTCACGGGCGTGGGGTGAATGAACCCAAAAGAAGGCAGACTCAAGGAGCTCAAATACTAAAAAATTTAACAAAAACAAAAGCTAAGAAGGCAGCAAAACTTACAAAACTTCTGGGAGGCACACAGGAGGATAAGGGACCGAGACGATGGACCAAAGCCATGTAATGAACCAGCAGTGAATGAAGGAGACGAACCAGAATTTATACACAGATGGAGGGAGGAGAAATGAACAACAGCTGAGAAAGGGCGGATTACAAACAACACACGTGAGGAGGAATGATCTAGAGAGYACTGAGGACTGAGGGGAAAGGGCAATGGCATGAAACGGACACAAGAGGGAGACAGCAGACAAGACAAGACCACAGATCCTCACAGTACCCCTTCCTCAAAGATCGTCTCCAAACGATTAACCAGGAACTTAGACATGGGAGGTTGGAGTGGGGTACAGACCACAACAGAATGGAGGGCTAGAAACAAGGACAACGGGAAACACAAAACTCAAGAAGAACACAGACAAGACAAAGAGGGGGCACGAAGGGAAAAACAAAAATTCAAAACCAAAGACCAGCAGGGAACCCCTGGGAACAAACAAAACAACCAAAAATAGTCACTAAGATGGCCCAAGGCACATCTGATGCGGGGCAACAGTTCAGGTGGACGCCCCGGAACCCAGCCATGGTGAGAGAGGAGCTCAGGAGGTCGACCAGGGGCCAGGCCGAGACGAAGGAAAGGCTCTGGAGGTCGGCCTAGGAAACAGCCGAGGCGAAGGAGAGAACTAAATTTTACTATTATTGTTTTTATGCTACTTTGTTGTGGTGGATGTAACAGGTCTCTCTTGTAAATGAGACAATGAGTCTCAAGAGATCTTCCTGTATAAATAAAGGATAAATAAAATAAAATAAAAAAACTCTGGAGGACGGCCCGGAGCCCAGCTGCAGAGGAGACGGAGCTCTGGAGGAGATGGTGGTAAGAGCTCACTGATGGCTGCAGCTGGCGAAGAGGTCTCAGCTGCAGAAGGCATGGACTCGGGCAGACCCGGGGACTTTACAATCCTACCCGGGAACTCTGGGGAGCCGGCTCCGGAGGCTCAGAAGCAGGCTCAGAATCTAGGGGCTCTGATGTGGCCAAGTCTGGAGACTCGTACAGGCCCGGGGACTTAATCCCACCTGGGCACTCAGGACACTCGAACTCGTGCAGGCCCAGGGACTTAATCCCACCCGGGCGCTCAGGATACTCGAAAACTCAAAAAGACCCGGGTACTCAACAATCCCACCCAGGGACTCAGGACACTCAAAGGACTCAGGAAACTCAGAATCCGGCATAGACTCAGGAAATTCAGAAACCGGCGTAGACTCAGGAAACTCAGAAACCGGCGTAGACTCAGAAGCAAGCAGACCTGGGGACTTCCCAATCCAACCCGGGGACACAGGAAATGCAGGAACAAGAGACTGGCAAACAGGTACTGAAGACTTTTTGGCAGGAGCAGAGACTGGAACAGATGGTGAGTCTTGATCTGGAACAGTCGACTCGGGTGCAGAAGCTGAAACTGGAACTGCTGACTCAGGTGCACAGACTGGAACTGCTGACTCGGGTGCACAAACTTGACCTGGAACCCCAGATGGTGAGACTGGACCTGGAACGCCAGATGGTGAGACTGGGGCTGGAACCCCAGATGGCAAGACTGGGGCCGGAACCCCAGACGGCGAGACTGGGGCTGGAAACCCAGACAGCGAGACTGGAGCCAGGATCAACAACAAGACTGGAGCTGGGATCAACAGCGAGACTGGAGCTGGGATCAACAGCAAGACTGGAGCTGGGATCAACAGCGAGACTGGAGCTGGGATCAACAGCAAGACTGGAGCTGGGATCAACAGCGAGACTGGAGCCAAGACTGGAACTGGAGACTTGGTGGCAGGACCAGATGATGACGATGCAGGACCAGACGATGATGACACTGAAGCAGGCCTGGATGCTGAAGCAGGCCTGGATGATGAAGATGCTGAAGCAGGCGAAGTGAGCTCTTGCAGCAGGCGTAGAGAGCTCGGCTGGAGCTGCAGCAGGCGAAGAGGACTCAGGTGGAGGCAAGAAGTACCCAGAAAACTCAGGGCAGAAAGGATTGATTTGATTTGATTTGATTTACTAATTCAACAGGAACATCCTCAGGATCATAGTCAGGATCATAGTCACATTCTGAGTCATAATCGGAGTACTCAGAGTCTGACCACTCTGGATACTCTCCAGACCAGATCCCTGGACACCCAGAAGATGCAGACATGTTTGTACATGCAGACATGGAGGACCTTGTTTAAAAACCTCCCACCTGGATGAGTGTCTGTGGAAGCTGAGATTCTTTTTGCTTCCTCTCCATTTTCTTTTGCTCATTCTTGGCTGCCTCCCGCATCAAAAACTCAAACTGAGTGATCTGCCTGCTGGGTTCTGTAGTAGGCTGGTTCATTCTGTCACGGGAGTGGGGTGAATGAACCCAAAAGAAGGCAGACCCAAGGAGCTCAAATAATAAAATWTTTAATAACAAAAACAAAAGCTGACAAGGCAGGAAAACTTACAAAACTTCTGGGATGCACACAGGAGGATAAGGGACCGAGACGATGGACTGAAGCCATGTAATGAACCAGCAGTGAGTGAAGGAGACGAACCAGAATTTATACACAGATGGAGGGAGGAGAAATGAACAACAGCTGAGAAAGGGCGGATTACAAACAACACACGTGAGGAGGAATGATCTAGAGAGMACTGAGGACTGAGGTGAAAGAGCAATGGCATGAAACGGACACAAGAGGGAGACAGCAAACAAGACAAGACCACAAATCCTCACAAGATCTCCTAAATGACCTTATGTGCTATCTATCTCATGCTATATTGCTGGATCTGTTAATTCAAATCAGTTTCAATTCAGTTTATTTATATAGCGCCAAGTCACAACAATTGTCTTCTCAGGGCACTGTACACACACACACAGGCCTCAACTCTTGGAGTTTTTAAATCTCATCATAAAACACACATTTTTTTCAAAAAGCTTTTGATTTAGTATGAGTTTTATTTTGTCTGTTTTTAAGGTTTATCATTACTTGTGTTTTGTATACTTTCTGAGAATTACATTTAAATCAGTGATTTTGCGATAACGCAATGCTAAAGTTTTTACCAAAGAAATGCACAATATGTAGCTTTRTGAGTGCACGTTGAAGATGAATGATGCTCATCTACTACCTCATGACATTTTAGCCTAATATCTGTAAAACTGGTTGAGTTGTAGTAATTTAATTTGCTCTCGGCTAAAGTTGAGCAGCTGTGGTGGTCATATTGGACCAAGCCGTCTCCAACAATAAATCAGTTGTAGATAGTCACCCAATGATTATTTACTCCCACACCAAATTTTATCTCAGTATTTGTAAAAGTGGGTGAGTTATAGTCATTTATGAGTTTGCCAAGGCTGCAAAAACAGTATCGCCTTCAGTGGTGAGTGATCATAAAGGTAGAGAAGAAAGTAGAAACTTCACGGTACATACCTGATATATCATTACATTATYCACCATGCCCTGGATTTTTTTTGTCGGTGCACTTTTTCTGTTCCCCGGCAGCAGTGCGTTTGCCAGGTTTGAAGCGGATCTAACATCTGGTGAAGAACAGACAGACAGGCACTCGGAGTTATTCCTTCATTTATTAGAGAGACGTGTGACAGCATGACAGTCTGCCTCGTTTTCCATCCTCCTCTCCTCTTTCCCAGGGGACCCTCTGGAACAGCTGGTGAGACACTTCCTCATCGAGACAGGGCCACGGGGAGTGAAGATCAAGGGCTGTCAGAACGAATCCTACTTTGGTCAGTATTGTGGTAGACATCACAAAGATAACACACTTCTCGAATTTTGTTACACATGAAACATCATTTAAACTTTCAGTTTTCTCCATTTTTTTGTCTCAGGAAGCTTATCTGCTTTAGTGTACCAACATTCAATCACTCCCATCTCTTTGCCATGTGCCCTAAGGATTCCAGAAAAAGGTAAATTTGGCATGATTTGTTTTAAAATGTGAAAAAACTAGATCCTTTACCAGTAGCGTAAGCATTACAGTCCTTTATCATCCTGACAGTAGTGCTAGAGCCAACATGTACTTCATATATTTAAAAGGGGAGTTCTGCGGAAACGTTATTAATCAGTAATATCTCTAAAGAGCCATTTGAATGATTCAGATACTTCGTGAACATCACATTTCTACAAATAAGCCAGTGTTTAGTTAATCCAAAACTGAGGCTGTTCAAAAACTTAGGTACGAGTAGCTAACAATACCTTACCACAAATCCCCACTTTAAAAGTCTGAACTATTATTTTAAKCAAATCTTTCTGTTTCAGATCTGGTTGGGGAGCTCCAGGAGAAGCAAAGTGTGACAAATACCAGCACAGCAGCTGAACTCCTGAAACAAGGAGCAGGTAACACGTAATCCATGCAGCGCAGCAGCTGGAGGGGGTTTAGATTTTACCTTTCTTTAACCAGCTTAAACGCCACGCTTTTTTGAGAATATCTAACATCACACGCGAATTTTCACGCATATCTCCTGGATCTCTGCAATAATCCAGCGTGCAACGTGTTCTACCTGAACTCGGTGGAGACAGAGTCGTTAACAGGGCCGGAGGCTGTTTCCAAGGCAACCAAGTGTACCATGGCCCTGAATCCACGCCCGGTGCCAACAGTGGTCCACTTTAAAGTGTCCTCTCAAGGGATAACGCTGACTGACAGTAAAAGAAGGTACTTCATTTCCAGCATTAGAGACAAGAGGTGTCACCTGGTGCACAATTTAGCCATACTTACATTTAAACGATGAAATTTATTTTAAATATTCTGGCTAATTCCTTCAACAAAAACTGTAGTTCTTTATTAGTTTTAAAAATAATCTTAAAGTGTATCTTAAATCTTCTCAGTGCTGCAGTCACTGAATTGCACTGGGTAATTGATTTTAGAGTTTGCTTTTGGTTTGGGGGAGTTGCTGGGGTTTTGTTGAATCTTTAGTGATATAACTATTTTTTTGTGATTGGAGAATGGGGTGGGGTGTTTATTAGGGGTGCAACAATACATGTACCCGTATCGAACCGTATCGAACAGAGCTTTAGGTTCAAAACAGACTTGTATCAAACAATACAGATTTTTAAAATTTACTTTATCAACTTGTCTTCTGAAGATGCTCTGTGTTGAAGGATCAGTGGATCTGTGTTCGACTACTCCACCTGGGCTGCATTTTTGATCGCAGATCCACTGAGAAACTTGCTGATTCAGCAACATTTAATTTAAAAACTGTAATTTTGAGGTTAAACAAATGTTCATAATTACTTTAAATAAATTACAAGTTAAAAGGGGCATGGAAATGTCTCTTTTTTTGTATCGAAAAAATATAGAACCGCGAGACTAAAGTATTGAACCGAACCGTGAATTTTCTGTATCATTGCACCCCCAGTGTTTATGTATTTTTATTGTTGATTGTAAAATGTTTTGTATTGTTTTTATTTTCCTGTTATTTTCTTTTCTTGGTTTTTTGTTTGTTTGTTTTTATTCTGCTTCTGGTTGTGTGGGGTGGAGGGTGGGGTGGAGTTGGGCATGATTTCATGTTTGGAGAGTGGGGTGGGGTGTTTTATGTATTTTTTAATTGTAAAATGTTTTATTTTATCTAATTTTTATTTTTCTGTTTCTTTTTCCTCTCTTATTTCCATTTTACTGGTGGATGTTGTTTTGTTTTTACCGATTGATGGGACTACAGATGTAAATTAGCCTTAGGCTAAATGGTGCAATGCATCAAATTATGCTTTAATTGCACAC